ATTTATTAATGTTGCCTGATATTATTAGAATGTTAGATACATTACTGTTATCTAATTGCTAAAATCTTTATGTTGTTAAATACAAATTCTTTTTTTAAATAGCTTAAATGATTCTATAGTTAGCTTATATGACTCTTACACTGGCTTAAATGATAGTTTATACTTAATTTTACTGATTCGTTAATTTTTTTGCATTTATATTATATCTATGTTAGCTTAATATATTTTATTGTTTGCTTATATGATTTATATGCTTGCTCATGTTATTATATGTTAAGGCTAAAATATACTAATATCAATCTTTCAATAGCTGATATAATTCTATTTTTGGCTAATATGATTCTATTGTTGGCTTATATTACATTCAATATAAATCTATCTAAAATAATTATGTCATATATCATTATCATTAAATAAAAATACAATAGTACAAAAGTAATTTCAACAGCATTGTTTCATCAATATCAAAAAAATAATTTAATCTGTGTAGTCTACTTAAATATTTATCTTGTTGGCTTATATCGTTCATGAGCTAATTTGTTTCTTTTGAGTTGGCTAATTTTATTATTTTGTTGACTGATATATTACCTGTTTTGAATTTCATGTTATCTATGTTAGCTTAAATTTTACTCTTTATGGCTTATATTATTCTTATATTATTCTTAAGTTGGCTTAAATGATATGAATTATAGTTTATACTTAGATTGGTTAATATATTAATTTTTTCCCTTAAAAAATTTAATAAATTGTTGAAATTATTATAATACCTTATATGATAATTATGTTGGATAATATCATTCTTTCATTGGCTTATATGATTCTTTTTTGTTGGCTATTATGATTTTATTGTTTGCTTATATGATAATTTATATCAGGAATCAAGTCTTCTAAAAATTGAATACGAAATAAAATGATTTCTATTACTTTGTAGATAACGAAGTAAATTTTATTAAATATATCTAACATTTTTCTAGATATGAAAATACATTTTTAAGAAAAAACATTAATCTTATATCATATGAAGGATAACTACTTTGAAGATTGTCCGGGCTCCCTCTTATTCTTCTGCATTTCCTCCCGAATTCTTTCACTTTCCTCTATAGCAGCGGCAATATCATCTTCCCACACCTTTTTCTTCTTCTCTTTCACGAGGTTTTCAATCTTGTTCACTTCCATTGTTAGATCAATAAAAAGCTTATCCTCAGCTTTGCATCGATCAATGACTTCCTATAGTTGACCCTTGAGATAGCCCAATTGGATCTCTAGTTGTTTTATTTCCTGCATTTGCTTAACAACCGAATCATTCTTTTTTTCATTTCATGATGATTTTCCGTCTTCCACTTTTGCAGAAAAAAAAATTAAATCTAGGGTTTTTGATGTGGGTACAAAAGGATATATTTTAAATGAAATTTGATAAAGAAAAGTGTCCTTTATATAAGGGGGCGTCAAGTTATATGTCGTTTAGGGTTTTTTTTCAAAACAATGTGTCGTTTGGTTTAGGTTAAGATATTTTAAATAATATTAATATTTTATTTAAGATATTTTTAATAATAATAATAATGTTTTATTAAAGATATTTTATTTAATACTTTAATAAATTGTTGAAATCATTCCTTTGGCTTATATGATACATAAATTGCCTAATATCATTCTTTCTTTGGCTTATATGAATCTATTGTTGGTTGTTATGATTCTTTAATTGGCTTATATGAATCTTTTAAATTGGATTACATGATACTTAAATTGGCTATATCATTCTTTTATTAGCATATATGAATCTGTTATTGGCTTATGTGAATCTAATTAAGGCTTCTGTGTTATCTATGTTGGCTGTTATGATTCTATAGTTAGCTTATATAATTGCCTAATATATATATGATTCTATAGTTGGCTGTTGTCTACTTTGTTATCTATGTTGGCTAATTATGGATTATTGATTTCATTTAATGGCTTATAAGATTTTTTTTTTTGGTGTATACAGAATTTTAAATTGCTGATATTTTACCTTTAGCTTATATGATAGTTATGTGTTGCCTAATTATTGCTGATGTTAATATTATTCAATGTAGGCTTAAATGATACTATTGTTGCCTTATATGATTCTTATATGAATCTAATTACGGTTTCTATGTTATCTGTGTTGGCTGATAATATAACTTTCCCTTATATGAATCAATTGTTGTCTACTTTGTTATCTTGGTTGGCTGTTATGATTCTTTAATTGGCTTATATTTATTTGTTGTTGCCTTATATGAATCTTTTGTTGGCTTACATCATTCTCTTATTAGCATATATGAATCTATTGTTGGCTTATGTGAATCTAATTATGGCTTATGTGTTATCTGTGTTGGCTGTTATGATTCTATTGTTGGCTAATATGAATCTTTTGTTACCTTACATGACACTTAAGATGGCTAATATCATTGTTTCATAGCATATATGAATCTATTGTTGGCTTATGTGAATCTAATTATGACTTATGTGTTATCTGTGTTGGCTGTTATGATTTTATAGTTGGCTTATATGAATCTAATGTTGTTTACTTTGTTATCGCTTATATGAATCTCTTGTTGTATACTTTGTTTTTTTTTTTTTTGTGTTGGCTTATATGAACCTATTGTTGTCTTAAATAACATTCATCTTAAAACTATCTACAAAGAATAACACTCAAATACTAATATTAATATACATAATAATTATAATTCATTATAAATCTTTGTCATTGATATGACATTGTGTTACAAAATCAAATAGAAAAACTAGCGTAATTCATCCATAGGTTTTTTCCTATAATTATGACCAAAATACTACAACTACCCTACCTTTTTATCCTACTTTTTAACAATGAACTTTTCTTTAGCAAACACAGCATTCAGAGCCAACTTTTTGCTGGAATTGTCAAGGTCTTGTGTTTCAGGAACCCAACTCACCTTCCTCCATATCCTTTTCCATTCCTTGCACACAATTCACTTCATTTGAATCCCATGACTCAAGTCAAGGAAATATATTCCTGCACATAATGTCATCCATTTCTAGAACTGGATGTGCTTGTTCTACACCGTATCGGGCTATCCTTCTCCAACACATGCATACACTCGTCACACAATCACTGTCCATTGGGTCTCTAAGTCGAGGTAAAACGTTAAATTGCTATATATCAAGCATGGAGAGGGTTGGGTGAAGTTCATCAAGATCAGCCATTGTTCATCCTTTGAAATTAAGTTTATCAACAACCTGTTTACAAATAACAAACAACCATTTCACAAAAGAATTCATTTGATCACAAAACCATAAACCCTAAGTTTACTGATATAATTCTATTCGTGGCTTATATAACAAAAACAAAAATTAAAAAAAAAAAAAAAAAAAAAAAAAAAAAAAAAAAAAAAAAACCATTTAAGAATCATCAAACATCCTTTATGTTAACTTAAATAATTTTATTATTGGCTTATATGATTCTTAAACATACAATAAAAGAATAACGAATGTACCTTACTAAATCCTAGAATTTGCCTTCTTTTGAGTTCTAAAAATGGTTGAAATCGCACCAACAAACGAGTAATTGCCTTCTTTTGAGTTCTAAAAATGGTTGAGTTTCGTTTCATAATAGAAGAGAATAAATGAAAGGGCGCCAATATTTTTTAGGAGGAGATGAATATTATATTGACTTTTTAACTTCCATCAGTCATTATCAACAAAGGTTATTATTACTTCTAATTGTATTTATTAGATTAGAAAATAAAACAATACATATCAGCAAACAAAAATTTAATATAAGCTTACTAAACTTTCTTATCAGATAAAATATTATATATAAGCTATCAACTGAAACATATAACTTGTTTTCTATATCAGCCATCTATATGATTATATAAGCTATCAACAACAAACAAATAAGCTAAAAAATTGTCTTAATTGTATATCATTTTTCTCACCAAAAATTAATAAAACATTACATTTCTATAATTTTATTACAAAATAAGTTGTGGATTTGGAGTTTTTGTCCAAAATTCATTTTGATGTCTTGTAGCAGCCTTTCTTCTTTCAAATGACCTCTAATCCTTTTGTTTCGCCTACAAACAATAGGTTCTCAAAACAAATTGTTAAAAGTAAACAAAAATTATTTGCACTAACTTTGAGATTTTAAATAAATTATACATAAAATGATTGTAACATAACTTTAAGATGAATGTATATAACTAAGGACAAATTAAGAAATTCTATTACCCAATTCTATTATATACAAAATAATATAAAAAACTAAATGAACTGTATTAAAGTAAATGAAATGTATTACAAAGTTCAAAAAAAATTGCTTAAAGTAACTTTAGTGAAGTGTATTATAATAATTTTTTTTTTAAAAAAAAAAAAAAAGGTATTACAAAAAAGTTAATATTTTTTTAACTTCAAGGCATATTTAATATCAACTGCATCAATCCAATAATGAATCCTACCTATCCCAGATGAACCTGAAATAAATTAACAAAAAGTACATAAGTTGTAATAAAGTAAAAATAGATCAAATAAAAGTAAATAAAACAATGTTAAAAGTAACATACCTGAGAACTACTTATTTGGACAGTTCTACTGTCATGAGAAACACCTGATTGTCCACAAGCACTGCAAGTTCTTCCTTTTTTGCATTTTTCTTCAACAACTACCTCTTTGGCACTCTTCAAGCGTTTAGTACTTCTAGCAAACCCTTTGTTGAGGCATTGATTTAGAGGTAATATATCTACATCAACAGCATTAGATCCAACAAAGAGCTGAATATCAGCTTCTTTGCCTTCTTTGAAACTTACACCTGAGATTCAAAAACTATATAAATTGTAGTAAAGTAAATAAAATCTAAATAAAAGTAAATAAAACAAAGTTAAAATTAACATACCTTCACCATTGTTCTTTTTGATAAGTTCTTCCTCAAATGAAGACAAGTACTTAACAAAATCAGACAAATATTCCTCACAACCCTCTGCTAGACTAACATAGGAGAACATTTTTTACCACATATCAGAGATTAGTTGCTTCTTTTTGTCAAAGTTAGAAGCCTCATCCACTGATGTAGATTTCTTATTAACATATTTTCTCCAACGATTCAAAACATAATGTTTAGGGATTTCAGATACTGATTTATCTTTCATAATGAATAATATATGTCTGCACAAAACACCCTGACTCTCAAACATCTTGCAAGTACAAGTACACTCTAGTGTAGATAAATCAAATGTAACATCAAAATTCCTCTGACATTCATTATCTACAACAATATAAAACTCAACTTCATCATCATAAGTAGAATTACAGCTTTCAACACCACAAGAAAAACAAGCAGCCTCGCATTCTTGTTGAAATTCATAGAAAATAGAACGAGTGTAAACTGAAGAACCATGCTTCTCTAACTTTAATGGAGTAATCAGTTTAGGCATTTTCTTATTCAGTCTATTCTGTTCATCTTGCTTATTCCTTTGTGCATCTAAGGTTGTTTCGTACCAAAGGAGAAACTCAACACATGAAAGATGAGGATTTATGAAATTACAAAAAAAATTATTTTCACCCTCAGATCTATAGGTAGATCTTAACAAACCACCCATAAATAAATCCCTAAAATAGGCTAGTATCTAGAGATGCTTGATCTTGAACAGATAAGCAAACCATTCATGAGCTACCAAATCATATTTTTCAATCACAGTATCCAAATTAAGCAACCAATTTACATCATAAACATGCTTAACAAGGAGTAAAATTGCAGAAGATTAATGGTATAATCAAACACATAATCCAACAATTGCAAGCCATAATTAATCAAGGTTTAAAGATTTAAAAGTTTTCGTTCCAAACGAAAAACCCCTCAAAAAACCACTGGGTGAATTTTGGCATCTGGAAGGTCATTTTTTTCACTTTGTGAGTAAAGAATGATTTCGAACATCGATTCCACCAAAAATTCACTATTTTTGAGTCGAAATCTGGATTCATAGTCATAAATTAGCAATAATACGATTTTAATCCAATTAAAACCCAGTACCTAATCTAATTAGGTTGCTAATCTAGAAATTTAAATCCATTTTAAATCAATTTAATTAATTTTTAGTTGTAAAAATTAAATGCAAGAGGCTCTTATAACGCTTTGAAATGAATGGTGTCCTTCCAACAAGTGTATTATTCCGATAGAGAGTTCGGAATTATTAGAAAGCTAATTCTTCAGTGAGGTCAAGTGAACGGAATGCCTAGGTGGAGGCCGCTTCCAATCCATAATATTAATGTGTAATTAATATTACAGCTTAATCTTGACTGAACCCTTCGGGTCACACCCCAATCAAGTAACCGATCCGAGGCGACGAATCAATCCAAAGGATTAGATGAGTCATTTGAGTATTACGGACAAAGACGTCGAATATCGAGCTTAGAGCGTCGAAACCGATCGTCGCAAGTCGAGTCGAATTTAGAATTCGACGAGACGAGAAATCAAGCAAGCGACAAGTTCGAGCTAGGTCGTAGCCTCACATTGGCCTAGCCATGCGAGTGTTAGGCTACCCTGAGCTACCTAGCGCATCGTAAGGCATGCCACAAGCCTAGCATGCATTGCATGCAAGGCCAAGCATGCTAGCATGGCTGGTGCTGCTGCCCGCAAGCATGCTAGCGTGCTAGTGTGCTAGGCCACGCACCCAGCCGCATCATCGCTAGCTCAAGCACACCAGTAGCGTGCTATGCGTGTTGTGCTATGGCGATGTGTGCTAGCATAGCAGGCCCAACCCTTCGCAGCTTCACACCAAGCAACGCACTCGCACAACACATGCATCACAGCAGCGTGCTGTGTGTTCCTCTGCTATGCGTGCGTGCTAGCGTAGCAGCACCAAGCAGCACACGCCTCTCGCACAGCAGCACGCACCAAGCAGCAGCATCGTAGCATCGCAACAATACATGCGTGGCCTACTTGTTGCACGCATGCGTGTGCTGGCTAGTTGTGTGCTGGTTGGCTGGGCTGCCCAACCTTGGTGCTAGGCACCAGCTGGCAACCTTGGCAGCCAAGGAAGGCTTCCAGCCAGCCATATGACGTGGTCAACCCAGTCAAGGGAGGGACCATTTGGTTGGTGTTTGGCTTGGGGAGTAAGGTGTTTTGGTCAACCCTTGCTCTCCATATGCCACTTGGAGCTTGTTAATTGCTTTGCATTTTAATTTGTTTTTTATTAAAATAAATTGGTGGAAAAATGCAATTCTTCCATATTGATGGGAGAAGGGAGATCAAGTCTCCTTTCCTTATAAATACCCAAGTTTTGGGTTTGGGAAAAATCACTTGAGTTGAACTCAATAAGGCATCTCCCTATAGGTGAGAAAACCTTTAAGTTCGTAATACTCTAGTCTTTTCTTGGTCTAGCCCCGACTAACCTTCGGGGAAGAGGCCATTTGGGTCGGGTCTCGAGGGTGGACTCCGTCGGAGGCTCTTGCGCTTGCGGAGCTAAGGCTTTAAAGTCCGAGCTTTATAGGAGTGAAGCACGCGTCGAGGGTAAAAATGTCATTTCTCTTTCTCTTTCTCTTTCTTTTGTTATTTAATTATGTGATTTCATGCTTAGTTGCTTTAATTGATTTAAATTCTGGTTTTGCTTTCTAATTAGATTAGAAACTCTTTTTAATTAGTTGTAATCTTGTATTTATACTAATTTTGGCCAACGAACCCAGATTTCAACTCAAAAATAGTGATTTTTGGGTGGAATCGATGTTCTAAATCGTTTTTGACCCTTTTTAAGGATTGTCCAGAAGCCAAAATCCACCCATAAACATGTTTCTCGAGGGGTTTTTCGTTTTTGACGAAAAATTTTAAATCTTTAAACCTTGATTAATTATGGCATGTTAAAGGTATATTAAATGTATGGTTGCATCCCTAATCTACTGCAATAATAAACCTTATTAAGCATGTTTATGAAATCATATTTGGTGCTTAATTTGGTGAGCTTATTTTTCACATAAACTTGAAATTACACATTTTTGCAAATTAATTGCTTCAAGTGTGAATTTTTATGGTGAATTGTAATTTTGAAGTCCCTAATGTGTTAAAGATCCAATCTTTAATTGTTTATTTGGTTGGAACTTTGATTTATAAATTCTATGTTGAACTAATTTTTGGATTTAATCATTTTTGAGTTGATTAAAGTCCTAAAAGTTCAAAACTTGTGATTGAAATTTAATTAATCTTCATATTGGAAGATTTAATTTTTCAATTGTACACAAGTTAGTGTTGGAAATTTTTCATTAGATGAATAGGTTTATTTTTCCAACCTCTTTAATTTTGTCAAATCTCATTATTAATTTATGTATGGTTAAATTAATTGTGAGTATAGCCCTTCAATTTTGTAGCATCATGATAAACCGAAAATTGATTTAAAGAATGGTTCTTGAATAATTTTGGTTTGTGCACTAAAATTGAATTTATTTAAGTTAGACTTGTTATATTTTCATCCTTGCTCAATATTGGTTCTAAAATAAATTTAGAGTCAATTTTATGTCACACACATATCGGGATTAAAATCCCGAGATAAAAGCATGCAAATCGAGGCAATGACCGCCAAAGCACACCACATGGCTAGCCGGGCTTCTCACGCAACCCACATGTGGCTGCCGTGGTGTGCATGGGCTGCTTATGCCTCGAAGTGATGCTAATGTGTGGCGGTTTTGGGCTTGGTGCACGCATGTTGCTACACGCATAGCGATGTGTGTATGTTTGGTGCATCGAGGATGCAAAGGTGATGCGCATAAGGTGCTACGGTAAGGGTGCCTTGGTGCTGCGATGTGTTGCTAGGCAACATAAGCTCGCATAATTTAGGACCTTTGAGGCCATGTCTTGTGTGTGTGCAAGCGCTGATGTGGCCGGTGTAACGTGTATACGACATTGAGATCATTCCCACGTGCTTGGGCCACAAGCGGTTGTGCTGGTGCAGCCACGCAAGGCACCTCAAGCCTTAGTACTAAGCACTTAGGGATCGTAATGCATCGTTGGGCTATGTGTTTGCTATTTTTCCGTTTTAATAACTCGGTAATTTTAACGAGGCTAGGCCTCGGTTTTGCCAGCATTTGCAAAATATTTTGGCAAATTTTGGTAAACCGACTTAATTAATTGGATTAATTAAGTTGGATGCGGAATTTAGTGGGAGCTTCGTTAATTTCTTGAGCTAATTTATTGTGTTTGATCACATAATCAATAAACAACTTAAACTAGTTTTAATTTGGCGTGTTAATTGGATTAACCACTTAAGTTAGTTACTAGTTTGCGCGTGTTATGCATTGTTACTTGTTTTTTGTTGTAAAATGCATGGGCCATTCACACATAGTGAATGGATGAATGTAATGTATATTCTATCACAGGTTTTGTGAAAATGGCAACTAGTGGGGCCCGACTAGGATAGTAAATACGGACTGCGATCTGTTATGTATTTTTGTAAATCTAAATACGGTCTGCGTACCGTTGCGTATTTTTGTACCTTAATATTTAGATTAATCCTAGTCGTAGTAACTAGTAATTGCATATTTGGCAAAGATGTCTCAATACGGCGTTTCTAAGAAGACGAGCCAAGAGGATGCATCGAAGACCCTTGCAGACTTGAAGGCTCAAGGGGTCATGCTAGTTGCCAAATTCATCTTTTACTTTTTTTCTATATATATAATTGTGTTTATATATGATTGAATGGTATGATAGATGCATGTTTAGGATTTCAAATGTTGCGATGATTAATTAAGTTCACTTAAATCAACCAACATAGAAACCCTAGGTCCCTATAATATTGAGCCAAAGTTGCCATTCCAAGAACAACACTTACCAAACTAATGCGCGTAATGATGGGCTACGCCAAAGCGAGGCATCACTACTTCCCTAGGAACGTAAGGTATACTAGGTATACAAGTTGGTCTTGGTTAAGCTCAACGATATCAGTAAGGAGTCCTTAGATGTCGTGGAAATGGAGATAAAATGTCATGGAAGCATTAGATGCGACGTTTTATCGAACCAAGAGTAGCTTAGTGCTATTAGCAATTGGATTGCTTACCTTAAAATATTAAGTGTTAAGAAAAGCCAAAGCATGCTTAATCACTTTCTGATTTTTGGGATCTTGGAATCGTTTTATTCTTGCCTAAAAGGGACAAATTTTAATGCGTGGATAAGACGCGTAATAAGATTGAAAGTTTGCATGTATGCTTTGAATTTCAAACTTATTATGTTATGAACTTGATAAATGGTTATACTTTGCACTTATATTTGTAGAATTCTAAATCAAATTATATTGTTTTCAATGATTGGTAAAGGATATGTTTTGAGAATGGTTCTCAAAGAAAGGAAAGGCATTTCTAAAGTACAACTTCTCGTAATTGACTTTTATAAATAAAGTCCGAAAGGACGGCTGGATATCATGTATTCAAAATACTAGGTAGTTTTGATGAACAT